CGGTTGTCACGTGATTCAAGATGGCGGCGGTGTCGTCACTTCCGGGGGAAATCCAAGATGGCAGAGGCCCCGCCCCCGTTGAGTCACCCATTGTTCTATTACGTCATGGCGGCATCCTTTGACCGCACGGTTACCCGCGCTTACTACTGCTATACTAAAGCTGTTCCCATTCACCCTACATGTCCAATATGGCCGGCGCCAGTGGCCGCATCAGGAGGCAGAATTTAGAGGAAAAGAAATTTTTTTAATTTAAGGAGCTACTAGGCATCACAATTGAGAAGCTTGCGGCAAAAAGCCTAGCGCTTGTCCTGTTGCCGAGTGATAATGGAGAACTTTAAAAATTTTTAAAAGTATTATACGATCTTGTATTGTAAGTGAAATATTAATATGTCTTTGTTAAAGTGGGGATCACATAAACCTCTGACGATATTTTAAAATTTCGAGTTGCCCACCAGGGCTCAAGCGGTAAAGTCGCTGAACACTGGTATTTCGGTCCGAAGTTCAAATCCCGCAAACGCGCTGCCCGCATGGGCGTTTTCGTGGTTTTCCCATGTGTAACGTGTATACGAGCCAGTTCCTCTCAAAGGCATCTCTTCCCTTAGGCAGATAGCCCTTGTGTGCTTTGCCGTAATTAAATAAACCAATAAAACAAATAAAATTTCGAGTTACAAATAATGGCAATTAAGTTTATCAATTTTAGCGAATAACTGCCGCGGTCGCTTTAATATATGTGTTCTCACATGCTGTGTTATTGAAATATTGAGTGTAGTATTACAGGTACTGTACTTCAGGTGTACAGTTAGTTATTTCATTTAGGTTTAATGTTTGAATTGTATCTAAAGGAATGTGAATTAATAAACAATTTATAGGACATGATAGGCAGACATTCAGCCGGCATGCACTATAATTTGTAAAAATCAAATCACACTATCATGTTTATCAGTCATTTTAGTGAAGTTTTATTTACCAAAATAATTTGCTTTTAAAGTAGTTTTGTACGTATAAAAATTGTATTGAACTAGTATATTATACGAATATTCCATATAAATAAATACAATATTTTCATATTGTTTTTACTTTGATTTCCGGAGAAGTTAAATTACATCTTAATTAACAAGTTATTATTCAGCATTTTAACAGGAATGAAAAGTTTACATATTTTAATTAAATTATTAAGATATTAATTATGGAAAAAGAGCATCTTAACGCTTTTTCGTAGCTGTATGGACAGCTCTTCTTGCTTTTTCCATTGCAGAAATTTGTAAAGTTTCTGGCAAAATCAGTTTGGTGGCGAATTCGATTTGTTTGACAGTTAGTGTTTTGGTCTTTTTTATTTTCACTAGTCGCTTCAGCTCTTGATGAAACATATCAATTACATGAGTTATGATATTATTAAGCTCTGTCAAAACTATAGCAGAAAGTTGAAATTTGGGCTGTAGCTTCTTCTTTAAGCGTTTAATAGTATTTTTGTAACTAAGACTGTTATTTGAGGAAGGCTTCTTCTTGGCTTTCTTCTTGAATGTATGAAAAGAGCAGTTATCGAGCCCCTGCAAGCAACGAGAGTATCTTGGAGGTATCCTTTCTGGCTCTATTTTAAGAAGAACTTCCATTGCTGATTAAACTCTGATTATATTTTCGGCATTTAATACATTAAAAAAGGAAGAGTTTAAAAATACTTTAGCTTGTTTGAATGCGTCTGAAAAGAGTTATTGTCTTTGCACATCGAATTGTATTTAAATAACTGTTGCCAGTAAAATCCTAGGAAAGTTATACTATTGCCAATAAAATATGGAGAAATAAGGTTGTTTGATGACCATTTATATTAATATGTAAAGACATATTTTCGATTAAAAATCAATGCTGCCATCTCTTTAATGAAAAAAAAATTCATTTAGCGGAATATATATAATATATATATAATAAAGTTATATATATATATATATAATTTTATTAAGGTATCTGCCTATGTTTTCGGAGCACTTTTTTTTAAAAAACATAGAATTCTGATTAAATATATTTTATATAGTCAAAATATGATATCAATCATGAAAATAGGTAAATTTTTAGAAATATTTTCATAAATTTTGAAATGTCTGCAATTTTATGCAAATTTTTAGGAGAATTTAACACTTACGTTAAATGTCGTATATTTTTCCCCACAGCATTATATTTCAATTTGATTTATACTGTATACTACTACATCTGTGTTATGAACTAAAATGTTTATGATATTTCTAAAATTAACTAAAATATGTGTAATTACATAAAAAAAAAACAGTTTTTTGTAAAATATTTCTTAGTAAATAATATAGGAAACACTATAATGAAATTTAATAGAATACCTTTAGAACATTTTGAATAATTGCATTTCTTGTATGTAAAAACACTAGAAAAATTAGTTTTCCAGAAAAAGCATTTAAAGAACATGTGAAATCTTTAATCACATGTTAATGTGAAATTTTTCTGTTAAGAAAAATGTTCTGTTGTATTTACACACTTAAAATTCTCCACATTTGCACATCACACCCTCCATATCTTTCATACTTCAGTAATTTTGATTTCCTATTCGATTTTAATTTTTTTCTGGCTATTTTCGAAATGAGTGACGAATGACGTTTCGAGTTCTTTATTTTTCCGTTATCAATTCCAAAGTAATTTTTAATCTTTTCTTGTTCAATTGATATACCTAAATCTTCAAACACAGGAAGTAATCCAAGATACCCATAATTAAAATGAAATGTTTTAGCACAATTTTACACACACAGACAGGTTTAAAAAAAAAAAAAAAAAAAAACCACGGATAACACCATTGTTTACCTTTAAGTTGAGCCTTTTAAATGGCACTTCCTGTCTCTCTACTTTCACTTCCGGTGCAATTAATTGGCTATATCTTCTCTTCTAATTAACAAACGTCAAAATTCTAACAAACATCAAAATGAACCATTTTCGGAATCCTACAAAACTGATCTTTCAAACAGGGCAATTAAAAAAAACTGACATTTTCCGTCGAAATCGTTTGTAATGTAGGCAGATACCTTAACAATATTTTTTTTTCGCTTACAGAGTATCATATGTAATACGTTTCAATTTTCTTTCGTATGCTCATAGTATCAAAAGCGCTACGGCAGAGAAGTATCACTGCACGCTTATAGTACTTTATTTGATACACTAAAGAAAGAATAAAGAACTCCCTTTTAATTAAAAATGAGCAACAAAGGCAAAACAAGTAATAAAATAAAAACTATTTAATGGATATGCATGATTTTTATGCAAAAGGTTAATGTGGCATTACTAGACCACATAGCAAATAATAAAGCAAAAGCATACAAAAACACATGTATTACGACTATCACATCACGAAAGAGCAGACGGGTTGGAAGATTGTGCAATGGAAAAAATCATGCTAATAACAGGTATGATACCTCTAGCTGAAATGGATGCTTGACAGCGGGGAGGCATGCTGGCAATAACGTCGTTGACCGATTGTTGTGGCAGTAAGCTCGGAACGTCGTTTTTTTATCTCTAGACAGCAAGTTGCACTGTAGAATCATTAGATTCATTTATGTTGGAGAAGTGAAAAATGTGCATTGTTCCGGCAGGGACTCGAACCTTGATCCTTTGGAATACGCGTAGCGTACGCTTCGAATTACACCATGAAGGCAGTCGGAAAGAAGGGACAAAATACTCTACAGCATATTTACAAAAACGTATTATGTCCCGTTCTCAATTATGTCCATCCTGATTGGGCCTACTCTTGCAAAACCAACCGAAAGTTACTTCAGACTGTGCAGAATGGCATTGTAAGATAAATCGCCTTCTGCTTGTTGTTTGTCAGGAATAATATAGTCCATGAAAATTGGGTATTCATAATTTTGCTGCATTTTGTTTCGCGCACCATACATATTTTGTACCATTTGTATAATTTTTTATTGTTTCTGTATTAAAATATGTGGATTTTGGAAGTATTTCACTTGCTTGTGTAACACTTATGTACCTTGATCTGATCTTAAAGAACTTTTAGGAGTAACCTTGTGCCACAAGCTTATCCCCAACTATTAGATTTTATGCGCATGGCGATGTCCTTATATTTCGTTTAATTCTAAAGTAACTTCTTATCATCAAAACGTATTTGGACCGTACAATATTTCTTAATAATCAATCAGTTTCAGTAGAGCTTGGACCTCGAGTCTTAACCCTCCATTCTAGGACACTGAGGTCACACACAAGGATCGAATGATGTAACTGAAGGATTGAATAGTTGAAACTCTGTCGATACTGAAATTTATAATTATTCACAGGTCCAAGTAATTTAGGTAAAAAATATTAAATTTGAAAATTAGTTCTCTAGTATAATAGTTCACTTGCATGGTTAGAGTTCAAATATTCGAGAGAGATGCTCGTACTTTCATTAAAAAACACACATGTGCCGGGAACTGTTGCAGAAGAAATTACATCACACATTTAAAAAAAATGAGCATATAAAGTAAGTGGGATTAGAACAGCCAAACGAAAAATATATTAAGATAAAAAAATAAACTTCTAACAGTTACAGATGTGACATAGCAAAAATGCCAGTCCGAACCCACCAGTTATGCATTATACGATCTCATTCAGGCTCGGCAGAAAGAAAACCATGGCTCAATGTTTAAGGTGCATAACTGGTGGGTTCGGACTGGCATTTTTGCTACGTCACATCTGTAACTGTTAGAAGTTTATTTTGTTATCTTAATATATTTTTCGTTTGGCTATTCTAATCCCACTTACTTTATATACTTGTGAACAAGGAATGAACAAGCGAAGTCTTGGGTGATTACAGTAAAAAATGTCGTATAGTAAAGAAAAGGAGAGAAGAAAAGTAACATTATTTAAAACGATTGAGAATGCTGAGCCTCTCTGGAACATTTTAATTTTATTTTCTTTGGTTGTAGTTTGAACAACTCTGTGATTAACTATCCATATTATATTTTCGAACTTATTACTCAGCCAATGGGCAGAAGAACGTAACTTGAATGAAGCGGAATTATTTTTGTCCTTTATCAAAGAATTTGTAAGGGAGTTTGTTTGTCCCTTACAAATTCTTTGCCTTTATGAAGTAAAAGTAATCAAAGGAATGACTTCTTATCGTGATGTATCAACGAGTGAAAGATACAACGAAGCGAAAGCAAGGTTTAAAACTAGACCGGAGGAAACAAATGCATGTTATAAGGTTACTATCTTAAAAAGTGATTTAATATAGCGAAGGGAAGATGAGTTTGTTACTTTTTCGCTATAAATGAAGATTTTATTTAAGGAAAATTGGCCTTTTTTTTATGGCATTTGTAGCAGAAATTTTCAGTTTCTTTTTTAGTCTTATGTTGTAGAAACAAAAGTGTATGTAATACGATTCCTTTTTAATGTGAGCAAAGATCTTAATTTTTATTGAAATTAATATTTAAGAACGCTTTGAACGCAAAGTTGTTGAATTAGGTTAAATTTGCTATTATAAATACCTTAATGTAACTGACTACTATTAAAATTTTATGTTCCACATTTTTTCAGGTCACACAGGATGATAATTTCGAATTTTATTCTTTTTTTGTAGCAATTGAGCATTGCAATATAAAATTAAAAATCCAGGTTTTGGATTTTTTTAACACTCTGTACTTTTTTTTTCTAAGAAGCTAGAATGGTTTTTGTAGCTAAAATACTGGTTAATGTTTTGTTATTGGTTGTACTGGTTAATATTTTGCTATTGATTTCTCACTAAATATTGTAATATATATTTAGGACTGTCTTTATTTAGGAAATAAACATTAAAATATAATCAAGTAAAATTTGTTGAATCAAATTGTGCATCTATATATACAAAAATATTATAAGCCATATAGTATCTGTAATCTAATTTTAAAAACTTCAGTCCTACAGGTGGCTCAGTGGTTTAGACCACTGATTATTGGGAGTTTGACTTGGATTTGATTCCAGGCAAAGAAGCTGGCTGCATGATTTCATGGTTATTTTTTCATGTATAATGTGAATATAAGCCAATTTCCTTTAGAAAGGAAACTGGCTTATATTAACATCCATGAAAGCTTCTCCTTCTCTTAAGCAGATAGTCCTCATGTGTTTTACCATATGTTTAAATAACCAAACCATCAAAATTATGTGTAATGTCTGAACATGGAGATTCGACATAAACACATGTTTGCTTTACAGCTGCTGAAAATTTGCATTTGCAGTGTGTGTATTTTAATGCATTATTAGGAATTAGTTAACAGTTTTTATCGTACTTTATTAAAGTGGTAATAGAGCTTAGTAGTCCACACTGGTAAACTTAATCCCTGAATCTCTAACATGGCTATTTCGGTACTCTTCTGTTACCAGGACCGGATTCAGAAATGTATGTAAGTATGGATATATGTATTCATATATGCATGTGTGCATATACATACATATGCACATACATGCACACATCATACATACATGCATTTCTGAATCCAGTCTCTCTGAATAATACAAGAGTACCTATATTTCAAATATCACCAAAAACTTAAGAATATTAATTGGAGATATAGTAGAAGTATGTTTTAACAAGGAAGTATAATTGTTAATTGAAAATCTATGCAATATGTATTTTAGAGTAATTTAAATACCGTATTTACTACTAAAAAATGAGATTATTACCTTATATTTGTTCAAAAATTTGGTCGAATCATATAATTATGTATATCAACAAATGAAATGGCAGAATGAGAGGAAGAAATTTATAATACTACAAAGAATAATGGCATTGTTTAAACACTAAATAAATTACCCTACAAACATAAACTGCTTAACTAAGCATGCCTAGTTAAGGCAGTTTCAATACTGCTCTGTACCCATTGTACTAACTGGTTATGCATTTGCTTGACAGTAAGTAGGTAATAATGTATCATTAGTTTTTCCTAATTTTTATTTCTATACCACCATAAAATATTTTGGGTAAAAGTACAGTTTAGGGTACCCCTTGGCGATTTATGGCGGTACATGGATACCAATTTTGTGCAATTCTTTGACTCGTTATTTTGGCTTGCGAAGCGGCGATTTTTGTGCCAAAAATTGCCACTACACAGAGTCAAAATAACAAGACAAATATTTGCACAATCGTATCCATGTACTCATCAACTTATTTTCACTTGAAAAAAAAAAAAAACCTTGAATTGCACAAAATGGCATGTGCACTCCTTTATTTATCCATGTACACGTCGACCTATTTTCACTTAAAAAAAAAAATCCCCGAATTGCACAAAGTGCATTGCACACCTTTTAACTTTGTCCATGTACACGTCAACCTTTTTCACTTAAAAAAAAAGGTTGATCTTTGGATTACGGTAACTTGGCGATTTTTTGGTGAAAAATTTGGCGACCAACTCTGCTACAGCAACCCTCTATTTTTTTTTTTTCCGCCGCCATTTGTCTTCACGAAGTAAAGACATGTTTCTTTTCTTTTTTTTATTACTGAAACACTTTTTCCAACAATCTACTAGCCAATTACACTTATACTAGAAATTTTATCTAACAAAACTGCTTAATCATGACAATATTCACTGCAAAATTGGGAAAAAGTGCACAATCGCAAACTCCTGTGCGTTTTTCAGAATAACACCTACACATAAACCATGTACACATCGACTTATTTTTACTTAAAAAAAATCCCATAATTGCAACAAAAATGGCATTGTGCACACTCTTCACTATATCCAGGTACACTGCTTTTTTTCTCATAAATTAGAAAAATTTCAATGAAAATCATGACAATTTTCCTGAATCTTTAAAACCCGGTAAAAAGAACATATATGAAATTACCTTATCGCAAAAAAGTATATAACCCTTTCCAAATATGAACATTTCCAGTATAAAGTAAATATCCAAAAACACTTTACCTCTAAATTATCTATTATATTATAAACGTCACCAACGAATTCATACCGCAAAACATTACAAATACTTAGTGTCAAATATTTAAATTATTTCCATGCACGTTTACTTCAACTAAAACGTATACCAAATTCTACAAAATAAAATTCACAAATAACTATAATTTAATTAAAATACACTAACCATGTACACGTCGACTTATTTTACTTAAAAAAAAATCCCAGAATTGCATAAAATGGCATTGCGCACACTCTTCACTATATCCATGTACACTGCTTTTTTCTCATAAATTAGAAAATTTCACGAAAAATGCATGAAAATACTCAACGTATACTACTCAAACATTTCCAAAATACTACAAACATGTTACTCATAAAATAACGATCATTAAATTAAAATATAATTAATTAAAAAAACACTATTTAAAATATAAATAAGCACATACATTAAATTAATAAAAATTAGATTACAATCTAATTACTTTAAAACTAAATCATTGCTAATAAGAATTTTCAAATAATACCATTTTAATTATTTATTTACTCCTTGCATTTAGAACAATGCATAAAAATAATATCCTCAAATGATTAAAAATACTAACTTACCTAATCTTCTTCAGAATCTTCATACGTCGCTGCAGTACTACTGCTAATTTCTAAATCCTCTAATCCAGTAGTCAACTCGAAGTCTATCACACAAGTAATAAGAAATTAATAAAATTTCACCTATACTCAAACTACTTTCAGCAAACTACGTACCCTTCCTTACACTCCTTTTCACAAAATGTCCATTTTCACCATATTTTTGCAACTTGCATGCCATTTAAACTTGTAATATCCTTCCTTTCAACACAATCTCTCAACTTATTATTATTATATATCATAAACGCATTAAATTTAGAATTCACTTTACATAGCGCCATGCAATCCGAAAATTAATCAACACTATTTCACACAACACACAATGAAGCTTTTCCAAATTAACCCCCTTTTCCTATCAAAGAACTGTAATTCGTCCATTAATGTCACGTTTCACACAACTAATACTTTCACACAGCTAAATACGAAATTTCTAGATTTCCCCCCTTTTCCGATTAAACAACTGTAATTCGTCCATTAATGTCACATGACATATCTCATGATTTCTCATTTCCCTTCCACAAAAATAATGCGTAATCGGAACTGAGTGCTTCTCACATTATTACCAAAGTCCTAGGTAGTAACCTTTATCGCCTCCAAAATGTCGCCAAACTACCAGTTACCATATTTCAAAGATCAGCCAAAAAAAATCTCAGAATTGCACAAACTTGCATTGCTCACTCCCTTTACTTTGTCCATGTACACTTCGATATATTTTCACTTAATAAAAAGTCAAAAGGAGCACCAAATTCTACAATATAGGCAAACAAAAAATACATAATCTCAATAAAATGCATTTTAAACCAAACAATAAAATAACAAAAAAGGAAAAACATGTTATACATTTAAGCACTACCAAAAGCAAATATTCACTTACCATGATTTTCGACTTTGCTTCGTACACCCAGAGCCATGTAAAAATCAAAATATCAGTCATATTCAAAGGACTTTTTTCAAACCAGGTACTCTTTCTGATCGAACACTTTACATAGTGACCATCTGAACCTTTCTTCCTACAAACCCAATCAAGGCCATCTAAACAGGTTTTACGTTCAACTAGACGCATATCCTTCCTACATACAGGACACTTATAATGGTTACTAAGTAAACCTTCATTTACACACCAGCCAATTAAAGCTCTTTTCTCCTTTCGCTCCAAATCGTACAGAAACTTCAAATTACAAATTAATCTTACTACATTTAGCCATTCGACTGTCTAAAGAATCAAACCAACACACACCACAAAAACGCTTACAAAACATCCCACGATTCAAAATTTCCCAGAATCATGCACCCGATTATGTCACAATAGGGTTTTCGTAACGTTCAACTACTCAGGCTACCATAAATGAAACAACAATTTGGTGATAAGTCAAACAACAACTTAGCCATAATACAAGGGGTACCTTAAAGTCTACTCTACCCATATTTTGTATTTAAATGGTAGCTTGTCTCATTCTAATCGGGAGCATGCTGTCATCAAACATTCATCTACGTTTTTATTTTGTAAAATTTATTAAAACGTATAAAGGCAGGATTCTTAGTTTTGAGAAAATACATAAAATTTTAGTGTTAAGTTTTGTGTCATGATTTTTTTCAGCAATGTAGATTTATAATCAGAATATTTAACAGTATACTATATAATCGTATATAACATCTATATAATACATATGTGATCAGGTCTTTTGATCATTGTATGCATTTAAATACAGATAATGTATTTACTCACATTTTGTTTCCCTATGTGTATTTCTCCCCATTTTTTCATATGATTTAGAAAATTCTAATTTGTCCTAATAATGTAAAATGTATTGATATAGGAAAGTCTTTTGCAAAATAGTATTTGTAAAAAGGGTAATTATGTATTATCGTGACCACTTTAGTGGAAGTCTCCAAATTTTCAGACTGCTCTAACTTGCTTAAGTATTCTTATTATTAGCTATCATGCTCCTAACAGTCCTTTAGTTAAACAATGTTGCCACTTTCGTATGTTCTCATTTTGTTGTATTCCAAGTTCGAATGTTTTTTATAGGCAAGTAGTGATATTTTTTGCCTTCAACTCAGTTTTAAAATATCACTAATTTGTGGAATTTACCACCAATGAAAGAAACTATGGGAAAAATTCTGCAGGGAGAGTTTGGTATTTCTATATTATTATTGGTAACTATATTTATTGAACTAAACTATGGTATTTCATCACATAATCACTAAAGAGCACAATGTTGAGGTGCATATGTGCAGAGCTGAGTTAGTGCAATTCTTTAATTTTTTTTTTTTTTTTTTTTTTGAGTGAAAAAAACTGCTGGTGGAAAGAACAATGCTAAAAAATAAAAGGGTTTTGAGAGAAAAGTATTTTATTTTTTTTTAATATCCAATCCTTATCAAGCAATTAAAATTTCTATTTAAAAATTTTGGAAGCTCTTTTGATAAATTGTTAATATTTGCAAATTGATAATAAATATCAAAATGCAGAAATTAAAAGAAAAAAAGTAATGAAAATTGTCAATTTACACATGGTAAGTAATTTTTATCTTTTCATATCTAAGAAACTGGCAAATTACACCAAGGTGGTTGTTTTAATATGTTAAGTACTGTAAAAAGCATATCCTTTCTTTTTCATAATTTCATCTCATTATTAAATGTGTAGTCGTTTATAATTAAATGTTATAATTGTACCAATGAATTGTATTTCTCCTTTAAAGATGACAAAAACTTATTATATTCACCTTCTCTGAATCTGTTGTAAAGTGTGGCAATTTTTGCTAAGTCTACAAACAGTCTCACAGTCTCATAACGGACGGTATAAGCTAGGCTAAAATTATCTAATTATCTGTTTCAGTTAATGTTGCAGATTGCGTTGTTCCTTAATCTTCTAATTGGATCCGGCTTATTATTTTTTGAAGACTGTTAGAGCAATTTTATAAAAAGTAAGCTTGAACTTTCGATTATGTCAAAAAGAGTTTCCGATTCTGGAGCTGCCAAAGGATCTACAAAGCGAAAGCATGCTTTGATGTCCATCAAACAAAAAGTGGAATTGCTGCAAAAAATGGATAATAACCTCTCTGTCACTTTCTTCATGCCTTTATCCATTTTTGCAACGAAACGAAAAAATTTCGATTGACAAATTAGTCGGTATTCTCGGCACAGCAATTACAGGACTTGAACAGCAGAACTTTGTAACTGAACAAGAAATTGTCTGTTTATAGAATTAAAGAGAAGGTATTAGCACATAAAACGAAGCAACTTAAACAACTTACATTGAGAAAAATGTTTAATAAAATAAACAAATAAATATTAAGCTTTTTTTTCTGTAAATTTTGATACCCTTTAGATCATAATTGCTCTTTATTTCATAAATTAAGGTGTCATATTTTTAATTTTATAATTTCTGCATGCCATCTTACCAGATTTAAATTGATGATCTATAATCCAGAAAAACCCCCTAATCCAGAATCGCCAAAGTCCCGACAAGTCCGGATTAAAGACTTTGTACTGTATTATATTGTGCATGGTTGTCAGAGTTTGGAGAACAGAGAACATTTTGTGATTTTTAAGATGGTTATCCTAACATTTTGCAGATTTTCATGCACCAATGTTGTTTGTTGACCACTGTTAAATTTTATGTGTTATTATTATAACCATGTTTTTATTTTCAAAATAAGTATTCTCGGTTAAAGGCTTTTAAAACATGTCCTTCTGTTTCATTTTTTTTTTTATGCAATTAACTTAAGATATATTTTCTGATATTTTTTTGTTTTTTTGAAGTTTTATTGCAACTGAAATTTTCTGATGATAAAAATGTTTTCTTGCTGGAGATATCACATGTATCATTTTAGAGAAAGCTATATGACTCATAATGCCCCTTATCAGATAAAAACATATTAATTTCAGTGAAGCAGAAGTATGGTCACATTGTTTATGTTTTGTGTAATCATGAAATAATTCATTTTAGTTTCAGTAAAACATAATGGAGTTATTTTTATGCTAAACTTTTCTAATATGAGAAGTTATTCTATGAAAGTGAAATTATTTTCTATAAAAAGGCAAATTTTCATTTTAAAATTTTACAACAATCAGTCTTTTTCATTTTAATTTTATAGGAACATGTTTTATCTCTGGCCTGCTTAGATGAATTTTATTATACAAAAGAGAAGTGTGATCGTTATTTTCAAAATTATAGAAACTGTAAAGCTTTCTGGGTAAGTATGAATTTTCTTTTCATAATGCTTTATTAAAGAATTTTTTCACACTAAAATATGAAAAGTTTTAAAATGATTTATTTATGTAATTCTTTCTGTGTGTGAATTCTCAGTAAGTTGTATATTGATTTTGTTGAAGTTGCAGACTGGCAATTCTTGCACACAACACATCTGTATATAAAATATTCATTCTGCATTAAACACATTTAATTATTATTTTTAGTTGAGGTATATTTCTAAATCTTGTAATTAAAAGAGCGTTCAGAGGAAACAGTAGGGGTATTTCAAAAGATATTTATCAATTTATGCAATTGTAATGTATTTTAAGTTTTTTTTAAAAAGGAAAACTGTTTTTCAAAATTAAAATCAGTTTGCAATTAGGCTTTCCCTTTGTTTCATAGCTTTTACTGATGATTTGCTATATGCATGTTAAGATATATTTTATATATGGTATATGTATTATTGGTATGTATGGTATCTTAAGGTACCATTTATATATGTTATGGAGGTATTTATATATGTTATGTAATAAATTCTTATTTTAAAAGGTGTTGTGAGGTATCTTTTATATATGGTATCTTATTGCAAAATGAAACAAATGGAAATTACTGTGCAATTATTTCCATTTTGCAATAAGATAATTAGTATGAACTGGGAAAGCCCCTCTCTGTATGCGATATATATACTGTTCTTTTACCAATGGCATATATAAAAGATACCTCACAACAACTTGGTAGTCACCTGGGCAGCTGACTACCAAGTTGTTTTCACCAAAACAGGTAAAGTATGTGTTCTTTACCTGTTTTCAGCTTCTTTCCAGTTTTCTTTCAATTCTTTACAGTTTTCACCAAAAATGTTTTTTATCTTTCTCATTAAATGCACATATGTACCAGGGGAAGTGTATTCTGAGTAGAATTTTATCCTTTGTACATTTATCTGAAAACTATCATAAAATTTTCCTTCTCTTTATAATTTATTTGTTTTTTCTATAAAAATTTTTCGGGAATAAATTCCAGTAATGCACAGCAAATAATGTTAATAGTTGACCACAATTTTGCTATCTTTGCAATATTGTAATGTCTTCAGTATCAAGATCTTCTTTATTTTAATGATATCAAGATTGGAACTTTAAAAGTGGCAACTGTTTATTTATAACTGATATGAAAGAGATACCTCTGTGATACTTTTACTGTTTATTTTGCTGATATAACTTTTTACAAGACTATAATATCATTTTGAAATTTATTTTGAATAAACTTTATTTTACATATTTAGTAATTTATACATAAAATGATACAATTTAATCTTGAGATATAATATTCATAGGGAAAATTATGGAAAATACAAGGTAACCAAAAAAGTTCTTGCCATTTGTGATCATTAGAAACAGACAGATATGCAACATATGATATTCAGCATATTTGTTCCTGCAGCTGCACAGTGCCCTCTGGGGTCTTGGGTGCAAAGAAGTCTGTGACTGTGTGCTGCAGGTCTGTCACATTGTTGAAAAATTTACCACAGAAGTGGTTGTCCATTGAATGGGACAGACAATAATTTGCACGTGGGAGGTTTAACGAGTATGTGAATGGCTCAGTGTGTCCCAGGCTAATCTCTTAATGGCATACCTGATTGTTTGTGCCGCATGTGACCTTATGTTGTCGGGGAAAATATGACGCATGCTTGTGAGCAACAATGCTGGCTTTTTCTGCTGCAATGCCTATTCCAGTCATTGAACTGCTGTTAATACAGGTTTGCAGTGATGCCGTGGCTCAGTGTAGTAATTCTTAATGTACTGTTTGGTGAGTACTAATGTACTATTTGGTGGCTATCAGGATTGTCTTAGTGCACTCACTTTTCATCACTTGTGAACAAGCCATTTAACCAAGTATGGATGTGTTGCAGTGCCTTAACATTAATGATAAATAAGCTGCCAGTCATTGCTCTTTGTTGACTACTGATAGTACCCATCTGCTCTACTTGTATACCTTTTCTATGCAGTACAGATGATCTGACTATTTTCTTGAAAACCTTTAAAGTGTCCTTTAGATTCTGATCTCACTTCACCTGCTTTCAGGTCCTCATCATCCAAAACTTGTTGGTTTCCCACTGTGAGGATTCCCTACAAAGGCTCAGATATCTGACCTAAACTTCTGAAACCAATGCCTTGTACGTCTCTTCTTGGCATCATCCCCAAATGCTTAACATATTCGATGACTTCATATAATCGCTGACAGGCCCACTTTAAAATCATACAACAAACAAGTGCTAAGAAACTGTTACAGTACTTTCATTTCATTTTGACTGTGGATGATCTGTGATTGTTGTTTGCGCATGTATTGGTTCAGGTCAGTAGTTATGCTAGCCTTTCATCCCTTTTCTGATGTGTGAATTACTTTGTTCCTCTCTCTGTGAGTGCTTCATCAAGTAGTATTTCAAAAATGGTGAGAACGTTTTTGGTTGTATCATGCTGATGACAGTGCATCAAATTAGCCACATTATATTGGTAGTTTTACAATAATTGTATCAAAAGAGTGCTTTTAAATTGTAATAATTAATTCAAGATTAATGCAAACTGATAATTATTTTTAATGCTTTTTATATTAATACATTAAATTGTATGTGCAGTTTTTATGAAAATAACAAAAACATTTCTATTTGTTTATTTATTTTAAACAGAATTTTGTGAGTTCAGAAAGGAGAAGAAAAGGTATTACTCCCTATCTTCCTCCAGTAGAAGAAAGAATAAAAGTAAAAGAGGAATATTTGCCATATTTTAAACCTCCATTTTGATTAATATGAATTGTGTTGTTTTCTAGTGTACATTATTTTAAATTATAATAAAGTTTTCTAAAAATTAAAATTATAATAATGTTAATTAGTTCAAAATAACGTTTATAAGATTTTTGTAAAAATTTCTTTTGTAAATTTTTTTTCAAAAATTCCCTTTTGAAGTATAAATTTTAGAATAATTTAATATATTAAACAATATATACAGGGTTCGTACGGTCCTAAAAGTCCTTAATTTTTTCAAAAATGATTTTTGGTCCTTAAAAGTCCTTAATTTTGGCCAAAATGAATAAACGGTCCTTAATTTTGCTCATTTGACATTTCTTATCATTTCTAATGATTGCCATTCTAAGTGTGAATTACGATTTCTCATGAATATGGAATTAAAATTACACAGCTCTTAACCAATCTGTTGACGGATTTGCATTGCAAACGATAAAAAAAAAAAAAAAAACAATTAGCTACCCGAACGAAAGTATCGGTGTCTGATTGGCTATTCACGCAATCTTTCGAAACAGGTGTTATCCATAAATTTAGGCAGACTGTGACGAAAGCGTGAAGCCTGGAAGTTCTTTAAGAGGCGAAAGTGATGATGAAGGTGCTCGAGAAAAAAAAAAAGGGAGGGGGGGGGATTCTGAAAATATTTGCCAAAACTAGAGCAATTCCAACCTGGAAGGCCACAACCCTTCCGACGCCAATAGGAACGAGATGCCTGGAAAGTGCATTTTCAATAAACTGTGGCTTCATCAAGCTGACTACAAAGACTGGATATTGATGGATGGCAATCCTTAAATGTGGTCTTTGTCTGAAACAAATTGAAATTTCTAGAATGGGAGAGTCAGCACTGAAAATTCACATTGAAAATTAAGTTTCGTTTTATCATTTCAATTTGTTTATACACGGTTTTGCGTAGCTTAATTTCTGTTTTTGTTTCAATTAAGCCATAAATTAATTTTTTATCACCTTCTACGGAGTTTATTCTCTTTTGCACATACTATATGTATGGGATATCGGGATTATGAGTTTATTTCTGCAGAGGGTCTGTTATCGATTTCGCGGGAAATCTGATGGCTCCATTTCGATTTTAGGTCGCCAAGGGCAAATCTGTAACGCTATCCGAGAAAAAGTGAAGTTCGGAAATACATTTTGAAGCTTCAATAGACAATTAAGTATTTGGTTTAAACCTATGTTTTGATAGTAATGCATAATTTTTGCTAATGGCGATACAATTATTAGTTGAAAAAACTAACTAATTAAAAATTTTTAAATTATTTTAAAGCTGAAAACAACTAATTGAAACTAATTTTCCTGAATTAACTAGACGCAAAATTAACTTTCATGAATTACTAAAGTTATTGGGTAGAAGTTTAACTGAAAATATACATTCCGTATATATATATATATAGTATTTATGGACTCGTCGGGACTTCGGCGATCCAGATTTGAGATTTTTCCGGATATTAGATCATTTTAAATCTACTAAGATGGCACGTAGAAATTATAAAATTGAAAATATGAAATCGTGATTTATGAAATAATGAAGCATTTATGATTTAAAGGGTATCAAAATTTACAAAAGAAAAGAGCTTAATATTTATATGTTTACTTTAATTAAACATTTCTTTCAATGTGAGTTGTTTGATTTGTTTTCTCTGCTAATACTTTAGACTAATACTATAGACATATAATTTCTTGTTCAGTTATTAAGTTCCATTGTTCAAGTCCTGTAATTGCTGTGTCGAGAATTCCGAATAACTTGTCAATCAAAATTTTTTCTCGTTCAGTAACCTCTCTGTTACTTTCTTCACTATCGGTAGCTGTATTTTCTGGATTTAGAACCATACTACAGATTTCGCCCTCCGTTAATTGATTGATGATTGGGCATTGTCATTCGCAATGAAAAACTTCTGTTTAACTTCGCTAAATTCTGCCGCCTGGTGCGGCCATGCGAGCTCTGGAGCTGGTTCTGGCTTTATGTGAATAACAAATCAGTTATTCTTAATTCAAATAGCACTAAATATAATCGTTTGTCCTATGAGTATCATTAACAAAATCTATTTTTAGCATAAGGAAAGAAATTTCTGCTAAATCTCCCCTTGTCAACATTTTAGCGCATTAAATTTAAATCTGTAATCGTATAATACTCTGTTATTTGGCATCGCTGCATGATTCATCACTCAAGTTGTCATTCCGTTGATAAACATGCGGTGATGAAAGCAAAATACAATAAATAATGATTCGCGATTTCGGCATCAAGGATATAAAATATTAGTTGGTGTAAAATTAACAAATGTTTCGGTTTGAGATTATGCCAAGCAGATACGCAGCTATGGAGTCAAGTTACTAATCACACAAATTTATGCTAAAATAATTATTTCTTCAATAATGAGATATTTTATTTAGCGCCAAACTGAGATTAAGAATCGGGATTTCCGGCATGTTTTTTTATGATGAGGGAAAAAAATCTAATGCGCGTGCGTAAAGCATACCCCTTCCCTTCAAAAAAAGCCCTAAAAAATTGGTTGGTGGTGGCTTTGAGGTCCGGATTTTAGATCATTCCAGATATTGGATGTCCGGATCTCGGACTTTGTACTGTATATATATATATATACATCTTTCAAAATATAACTTACCAGTATGGATTCACTCTTTTAAAATAATTCTACTTTAATTAAACTTAGGAGATAATATAATCAATTAATCATATTGTTTAGGAAAAATTATATATTAAGATAAAAATATGAATCAATTATAACTATAAACATTAATTCTTCCTCTCTATTCTAAAATTGTAATAACTTATCTGCATTGCGTCATTCAATTAATCATGCGATCTTACGTAACCGTTAATACCAGATGCCTCTTGACGACCAATCACCGAATTGTAAACCAAAACTTTTCTCTTTGCGTGCTTCCATCTTTCATAACTACGCACTTCAGCTTTTGCTCTCTACTGTGCTAAGATATAATTTCGCTGGCTTGCTTTCTATCCCAACAATATCAAAAATCTAAATCTTCTGTGGAAAGGCACGACTAGAGTGCCAAGTGATTGTGGCCACAAATATCAATTGGAAATAAAAATGGAATTAAAATCGCATCTACTGCCAAGTTTTATTTACGAAGTCAACACATTAGCTTACGACACAATCAGATTACTTCCTCTTCAATATAGGATAACTACGCATCTACAGTGCTCCGTCATTTCCTTTGTGATTTTATTATGACAATTAAGCCGGCAAGGATAGTTTCCTGCAGCCTGAAACTTGAATGGAAAATTTAATTCAGCTCTTCAAATCATCGTTTTGTGATAAATCCAAGATAATGTGAAAGAAGTGAATCATAAAGTTTGTTTTTTCAGTTTTTAAAAAATAACAGATCATTCTTCTGCTGTGGTGTTTTGCAAGTGCTTTAAAAAAATAATCACGCGTAGTGTTTACAGATTGAAATTAATCTCTCGATAAATTGAGAGTTTATTCCAAATTGTATATGAGATGAATTTTAAATGCATTTTTTATTTTATTTTGCATTATATAATAAGAGAAAGAAAAACAATTTTACGTCAAAATATTCAGATAATTTAAATCGCTTTTAGTACAGTATCTTTGCCAAGACAATATATGTGAGTTTTTTTAATGCAGTTCTACCCCCTTCTTTTTTTGCTTGCAAAATGCTGTCAAAGATGCTGGATCTTACATGTGAAGCTGTGGTATATATTAATAAGAATGGCCATATGCAGAATGGCTTTAGGGTTAGAATGGTACTCTTTTTAAAGTTGGACTTCTTTTTAATTGTAAGAAAGGGATACATGTAATTTAATTAAAAATAATTTTTCATCATTCTCACATGATGTATTTGTAATGCCATTCTTTGGTTTCCCTGACAAAAGTCCATCAGATGAAAATCCACAGAAAAATCCACAATAATAATTAGTTATGATTGCCCATGCAGCAAATACCCACGTCAATAAAAGTCTGCATAAATGAATGGGTACACAATTGTTATGAATGTAAATCACAATTTTTATCAATGTATAATGCAATTATAATAAATGGAGTATTTGAGTCTTATCTGATTTTTGTTGTCTCAAAATTATGTTTGGTATATGCATTGAAGATAAACTCTTCCAGGCAGTCTTATTCGACTAAGATAACAGTAATTGAAAAGTTTGTTTAGTAGTATTAATTTATGCAGATCATTATTCTGTACTTCATTCAGAGCAACTGAGGTGGGCCTTAAGGCTGCATACACTCACATTGCCTACAAAGATATCTGGATTTTGACTAACAGTCATAGTTCTATTCAGCATCTGCAAAATTGGCCTCGCATTAGTGATAAGACTTCACTCTGTATTTTGGCTTTACTGCAAAAACTTGCTTCCCATCATGATGTATATTTGCAATGGATCCCATTACATATTGGCCTCAGTGGTAATGAAATGGCTGATGCCCTAGCTAAGGAAGGTACTTCAATTACTCTGACCTTTTTGGAGAACTGCTTGAGAGTTAAATCTACTGTTGCCTCTTCCTTAGTCCTGTATGTAAACTTTCGACCCCTCCTCCACATTGTTCCAAAAGTGCTTGTAAGTTACTGGATGCTATTGTTGCATGTTAACTTCCAGTTTCCCCCCTCTTTCACCCCAGAAAAATGGTTACAAATTGTTGAATTCAGTGATATGATTTCTAGTAACAAGTCAAAATCCTATTACTGGTAGACTGCAAGCTTATCAGTGCTAGACTATGTTATTTTTAAAATACTCTAATCAATTAAATATTAAAATATTATCTTCAGACTAATGTTGTATTGTGTTACTACTACGGCATGAATATAAGTATATGTAATTTTTGTTACGAAGAATATTTGGTAATGTTTTAAAAGGAAAAAGTAAGTATCATTCAAGTTGATCATTTTTTTAATAAATAAATAATCAGTTAATAAATTTGTGTTATTATAATGTAATTAATTATTTAATTAATTGAATTATGTGCATTTAAATATAATGATAATTAAATTATGTTCACACATATTTACACACACACTAAGAAAAATAAAGGAGCATTACAGAAGTATATAGAACAAACTAAGGAAGATGACCCCATAGAAATTTGAAAAACATTTGATTTAAATAATACTTTTCTACAAAATTCTAGTCAGTTAAAAATTTTTTCACATATGAGCATGGCAAACAGACTTGTAGGAGCTAAGAAAAACTGTGAATAAATATGCTAAATATAAAAATAAAATAAAAAATAATAAATTATAATATAAATATAAAAAATATAAATATAAATTAAATATAAAAAAATTAAAATAAATGGAAATGTAAAAATACACAATAAGTTTAGTTTTGTATGCAAATGAACCATAGGGCTACTAAAAGTGATTAATTTCTGTTCTATAAAGTAATGCCCAAAGATAGTTAATTTTGAAATTAAAGCTGTCTAGGAATATGAAGGAATTCTTGTGAATTCAATTCCTAGATTTAGGTATGCATTTGCCGTAAGTTCTTGTGCACTCTGAGGACAAAATATTAGACAAATAAAAATCAGGATCTCATATTATAATTCGTAGGCTCATTTAATAAATTTTAGGTTTGTTTAAGACAATACTGTGGCCTTTTAACTTGTGTATGTGCTGTAGACTATGCTAAAATGTGAGAGTAACAGTCACATAATTAATAATATAGTAACCAAGCAATGTAACAAGTTGGCCCATAATTCTACATTTTTTAATACTGATTCATGGAAAGCATACACGTTAATTTTTTTCACATTTGTGTAAAAAATAATTTAAGTTATGGAAATAGTACTAAAAATCATTTTTTAAAAAGTTTATTTAAGAGCAGATGCAATCTTTATAATACAGTAAAATCTATCAGATTAGATTCTAATTAATGTTAGTTTATATTCACACTATATCTTTAAATTTTCTTTTATTGTGAAAGTAATAAAAATTTTGCAAATTTTGTGAAAATTTTTATTCTGCATAGATATTTTATTTTGTACAAATGAATTCAAAGGAATTTAATTGATAGTAACTGTAATAATACAATTCTTTGAATTAACACACACAGGATAATAGGAATCAAATGAGTGTTATTGAAGTGAATATTATTATTAGATAGATTGCATTTATACAGGTGTTTCTGAAATGTAATAAAATGCTTTAAAATTTTTTTATTAACATTGACAATAAAAATGCTCTAATATTTGACAATTATTCCAAAATACATGAAATATGTTAAAAGAACATTGCAAAATATTAAAAGCAAATATTTGGATGTGAACAGATAGTGGACTGTGCGAGCTGTGCAAAGGAAAGATTTTGTGGATGTCAGCGTCCTTTCATTTGTTTATCCTTTCATTTTTTTTCAACGAATTCTGATTGTAAAAGAGTTTATATTATAGTATAAATTATGATAAGGGCATTTTAGTTCATATATTAACATTTAAAATATTATAGTAAAATGACTTCTACAGTAAAACTGAATAAGAGCCTTACAGAGTCGTAGCTAGGGTCTTTAACACCTGGGGACGACTCAAGATTTCATGCCTCCTCTTGTTTGCCAATAATGGAAAACATTTAATTTTAAAATTTTGTAACATTAATTTGGCATCCCCTTTTGCCCCCTCCCTTTTAACTACACCACTGGAGACAATCATATAAGTGATAAATGTTAATTAAGCTTACTTTTGCTTGCATATAATAATGAGAAATTGATTTCAATATTGTGTTTAGTAGTTGATTTTACGTAAATATGTTTTTGGTATGATAACTTCCATGCACCTTTCAAGGAAGCAATGTAGAACTGAACACAGTATCTTTGTAAGCATGATGCAAAAACTCCAGTTTCTTCATTTGATTGCAAAAAGAAAATCAAGAAATTTGTCTTATTATTCCAAATTTTAGTTCATAATTTGGATATTTGCTGACGAGTGAAATGTCTAATCTTTAAAAATGGTAGATTCCAGTGTAGAACTTAGATTTCTCCCATTTTTAGATTCCTGCTGTGTTTTATCTTGAAGATTCTGGGAATCCATTTTTCGTAGAGATTTCTTCCATACTAGGGATGAAGAGCGAAGGCTTGCTGCTACTGTCATTGGATATTCCTAATAATTGGAAAAAATATGCTTTAATACACACGATTTTATAATTTTTTCACACTGAAATTTACATTTAAATATTTAAAAATTAAAAGTATACGATCTTTTAGTACTTCAAAGTGGCAATACCCTATTGTAAACTACTAGAACCGTAAAAACAGTCAGATAAAGGCAGTCTTGTCTCGGCTACCTTTAACTAGAGTTCTCATACTCAAAGTGAAAGTTTGAAATAAACCTATTCATTAACATGTAGCTTGAAGGTTACATGAATTCAGAAAGATAACAGAAACAATCTATCAGATTGCAGTAATGCCGAACAAACTTTTGAGTCAAATTGCAAGTGACAGAAAAATTAACACACTCCTAACACAGCTTTGGTTGAGCCTTAAATATTTCTGAATCAACCACGGCTTGCCGAACCCAATAAATTCAATTAAAGCAGCAGGGAATTGTAAAAGAATAACAGTCAGCGGAAGCTGCTGAAGGCTGTCTTTAAACCTCAAGACTGTGCTTATTTATATTTTAACTAATTTGTGTTCTGGTGAGAGCTAATGAAACCAGAAGTTAAAGCAAACTGATAATTGCGTTAATTAACATAAAACTGTCTAAAAGTAAGTAATCTAATCAAGTGTAATTATTTGTTATACATTTTATTGCATTTTGTTTAATGTATGGCATATCGGTAGACTTTCCTCTGTACATAAATACTTTCTCAGAGTTTAATTCTTGGCAGAACTAACTATGTGCGGGCAGAACATGAGTGTATTCCACTATACACTGGTGTGCAAAAATTAAGGACGAGACGGTTTTTTCAATATAACTTTGTACAAAAGCTTTCCAAATCAACACATTTAATACCGTAAGATCCCCAATACGTAAGGACATGAGTAATGTAAGCGACACTTACTAAAAGGGAAATCAGAGGGATAAAAAGAAGCTTTATTGAAAAAGTAGCATGGAGCGCAATGCGACTGAAGGCCGAAACATCCCTGTGATGGGTGTCCAGCAAGAAACATATGGTCTTTAATAGGGGATATGATCTTCCCTGACTGCTAGGCAGGTTTCACAGCGTCTGCCCATGCTGAGAATGAGGGTGTCAATGAGTTGTTGAGGCATTGCTGCCCGTTCGTCTTGCAGCGCCAATCGAAGCTCCGGAATCGTTACTGGTGGTAAGGTACGGAGCTGCCAAGCGTCTGCTTAGAAAATCCCTACATGCTCGATGAGATTGAGGATCCGGAGATCGGCCGGCCAATCCATACGTTCAATATCCTCACTCTCTAAGAGCTGTTCGGCAGCTACTGTGCGATGACATGGAGCATTGCGTCCATGAAAAGGAGGAAGTGCGGACCCATAGCGCCTCTAAAAAAGACGCAACATATGGAAGAAGAATCTCGTTACAATAACGGGTCCCGTTGACTGAACCTGCGTCGAAGATGTGAAGGTCTGTAACGACTACTAAGCATGATGCCTCCCCAAACGAGAACCACCGCCACCTCCATACTGTCCCTTTCAATGATGTTCGAGGGATGATTGCGGCTTCCCCGCTCTCTCCAGATGAGTATGCGATGAGAATCGCTACTCAGACTGAATCTGCTCTCATCTGTAAAGAGTACTCGTCCCCATTCATTGTCTCTCCAATTCCGGTGTTCCCGGCACCACAGAGAACGCCTTCTCCGATGGGCAGGCGTTAGAGGTACACACCGTACAGGGCGCGTGCAAACAGACCACCACCTTGCAGTCTTCTGGCCACGGTAAAACGCGATATCGGTCGTCCAGTCGCCTGTGTCGTGTGTCTAGCGATTTCTCCCGCTGTCTGCCGCCTATTTCTTCTGCCCTCTAAGGCAATATACCGGTCATTTGCGGCTGTGGTTCCTCGTGAACGACCATTACTAAACCCCCGGATAGCTGTTCCTGTAGTTTGAAATTGTCTCCAAAAGTCGTGAAATGATGCTGTGAGCAATTCCGAACTCTGCAGCCACACTTGTCACACTGCGGCCTTCCTCCAACTTCCCAATGATTCGACCTTGGGTAAAAGCATCCAGATGTCGTCTAACAGATTGATTATTCGCCATTTCGCGCTGAGGCAGCAACTCGGTGTGATTTTAACTGCTATACGGCGCGCAATCTCTTTGCCAGAAATACTGATCTTACACCGACAACATGCTTTATACTACTCAGACACTCCCCCATTACGTCTACCTGCATATATGCGCATGTGCTACCGTACATCACCTTACTTAATCTCCTGATTGGTCTTTCTGTCCGCTCTGCCTCTTCGTTCAGCTGATATGCTAATTTTTCGACTTTGTCCTTAATTTTTGCACATCAGTGTATTTCCCACAGAAAATCCTTAATGAAGTCACCCCTCTTATTGGGAGGTAAGCTGTAAAACAAATTGTCTGTCACATTACAAAATATTGAATAAATGCATAAGTCCGTACTGTTATTTTTTGGGTTGACAAACACTGTATTATGAAGCTTTCGTTTTTCGTTATTCAATTGCTTCCTTCCAGTTTGGAGGTTGACGCGAACTGGAGCTTGTATGTCATTAGCAGCGCCTTTTGACCATTTTCAAGGCTAATCAGTAGCAAGTAGTGAAAAAGGTACACTTCCAACGCATTCCAACTCTTCGAATTCAGTCGAAGATATAGTGCTGAAGCCAAGAGAAGAATTTATGGTGTGTTCGGGAATTGGCGGAAATTGTAGCATGCAGTCATGCAACCATTGTCACCATTTGCATTAAATGGGTAAGGAGAGGCATTGAACTCCTACCTGAACCCTAGCAAATCGTCATTAACAATGCTGGTAATTATATCATTGAATGTGTGATTATTGGTTTATGATGTAGCGGATCAATATCTTGTTATAGTCTTGTAATGTAGTGTATTTTATACTAATAAACTCACAGCATGGTGAAAATGGTATGGACTTGTGCACAGACTCAGTACATAATCATTGCGCAGTTAAAGTATTATTTTGGTAAGCTTAAAATGCTGGTTTCTGTTTGAGATTTTCTTGTCATTTTAGCAGTTTATTATTATCAAAATAGGGAAGGGTAAGTAAAAACTATATCATCTTATGCGAGATTTTTATTAGCCCAAAGGGCGTTAGCCCAGAAGGTCTTATAATTTCGTTTTGGCGTTTTGCGTAGAAAACTAAATTGTTGCCACCAAATATTATCGCTCTGTTTTATATTTAAAGAAATTAAACAATGAAGAATCTGCATAAATGTATGTATGTTTCTTGCATTATGATAAAACGGCGGTACCTAGATCCATCCAATTTTGAATAACGTAAACCCGAATATGGGCATCTGGAAGCCCAAATTTGAATGTATTATCTATTTCATATTTTGTAAAGCATTTATGAGTTTTTGATTAAGAAACTCAATGATTTCAAAGCGAGCAATGGCAACACTGTACGGGGAAAAAAAAATCTATCTGCAGCGCTCGAGACTGTGTATCGGAAATTCTCGAGATATGCTCTTTTAAAATTGTTTTGCGATATTGCTGTTAAATTGAATTTTATAGTTTAAGTGCGAAGAACATGATATTTAATTAATGAAGGTAACACACAAAATGTTAAAAAAACGTCCCTTTGGGCATAATATAAAATCTGACAGATTTCAGATTTTTTTTCCTTAAATTTTAGATTTAAATTAGCATAATTAGAATAAATAGCAAGCACTTCTTATTATCATTGAAATGATTGTATTAAAATGCTTAAAGCATGTGTAAATAGTCATAATATTTGGTTCGTCTCACTAATCTGGATCTTTTCTAATTCCTTCAAAATTTTGTTTAACCTGTTGCATAGGAAATGGACATAGTTAATCTGGGTTCGTTGTTACCACAGGTGCTTGATTTTTTTATGCATGCAAATGCTTAACCTCAACTCACTATCGTACTCATGATAGAAAATTCTATGTAGGCAAAAGTGGCATAACCTCTTCATAATAGCGCTTCATCACAAATGTGTTTCAACATTTCATAAGTTGGCCATTGAAAACAGAAACCTTCATACGGGTGCCCAGCTCTCATGAAGATCAGTTTCTAACTCATAAAAAGTAACCTTCCTAAGGTTGTGTTATCATATTTGTATCGAGAGACTGCTATGCAAATGGAGCTTTTATTTACGATTCTGTTTAGCAGAGAAAATGAAAATTCAGTTTATACAGTGGTTCTCACATTTCTATGAAAATGACTTTTTTCAGGTTAGAAATTGTGTAAGAAACTATTCCATTTCCCCATGTGTGATCTCGTGGTGTAAGTGGTTAGCATACTGTAAGTCACGGATTGGTAACGACTTCCAGTTAAGGTTACTGGGGTTTGAATTTTGTTCCTCATCATTACAAGACCATTTATATAATCTTCACTAGCACAGAACATCTAATTCGCAAAATCTTAAAGAGGAGGAAAATTCTTTTCCAAAACGTTAAATAAATCTGCTATTATACTCACATTTAAGATGAATGCACAAAAGACTTGTTCTTTTTGTTGCGCTAGGCTATAGGTTTATCTAATAGGTTATAGGATGAGTTTGCATAAATCCATCCTTATCCTTATAACTTCCCTGTGGAAAGGAAGCTCCCTCTCTTCAGTTCCCACTAACTTCTCAAGTGGACTTTTGGTTCGACAATGCTTTAAGTGTCTCTCGCTGCAAAGATACTATATATTGGTAAACATTCACACCTTATCCGGAATTAAGCCCGGGACTAACAGCCAGTATAGCCAACCGATATACCGATTAGGGTGGCACAGAGAAATGTAAATATTAATAAAAGTATATATAATATATATATAGTGCAATATTGAACTACTAGTGTTTAGCAAATTATCCAACTCGTTCATTGATAAGCTCACAGACTATTATTCATGCACAAATGTAAATATCACTAATATTTTCAAGGCCTACCAGCGGCTGAACGGATAAAATCGCTAAACATTGGTATTTCGGTTGGAGTTAAATCCCGGTTGGCAACAAGAGTGCTTTCGCCGTTTCCCCTATATGTAGCATGAATATGAGCCAATTTTCCCTAGAAAATCCTTCCCGAAAGCATCCTTTCCATTAGGCACATCCATTGTATGCTTTATTGTGATCTAATTCATCAGATCAACTAACATTTTGAATAATTACAAATAATTACAAATAATTAAAAAATTCTTATGAAGTCAAATAAGTTTAAGGAAATGTATTTTGAGGCAAACTAAAAAAAAAATCTAAATACTTTAGTCAAACTTTAGGCTACGTGTTAGAAGAGAGCTCTTTGAAGAAATAAATATGAAAATTGATGATTGGCCATTTTAGAATATTGGCCGAAATTAAAGAAAATGAATGATTGGCCGTCAATATGAAAATATTACAGGCCCACCGGCGGCCGAGCGGTAAAGTCGCTGAACACTGGTAGTTCGGGGATTCTATTCTTGCGAACGGGCTGCCTGCGTATGTGTTTTCGTACTTTTCCCCATGTGTGACGTGTATATGAGCCAGTCCCCCTTAGAAAGTCCACCACTAGACACGAGACGTCCGACACGAGACGGAAGAAAGGCGTCCCTCCCTTCCGTCTCGTGTCTATGGGCGAAACGTATAAATAAATAAATTAAAAAAAAAATTAATAGTTTATTTCGAAATTAAAATGTTATTTTTATTCTAACTATCTGCCCCTTCTTTAATTTTATATATTTAGTTAGTTAACCAGTTAAGAATTTTTATATGAAACCAAAGTCAAGATTGATTTTTTTTAAAGCTACATTCGGGCATCCCAAAATGTCGCAGATCTCGGGCAACGATTGAGGTATGCTTGGCAGAATGGATCGCAGGATGAGATTAAGAATCTTTTATAACTCCCTACCTCAATATTTACTAGCTTGCATCGCCGGTAGCATGGGAGAGAGGGTTTATCAATAACTGATTTGAACATTCAGTATGCCACTGCTAGCCATTGATGAGTCCTATGGACTTGAGTATTTAATCATTTCATTACCTGTGTATGAGTTTTACGCGCATTTAGTTGCAATAGAAACAGGTTGGGTACAGCAGGCCATCTGAGGTAAATTTTTCAGAGGATGAATGCTTACATGAACTTCCGAAGTTATTAAGCTTAACGTTATAATGATAGGAAATTTTCTAAAGTGCAGATGTACTGAACTTTTTCTTTCTTTGAAACCTGAATTTGGGACATAAGTACTGAAAAATTTGATCGCTATTGGACACCAAGAAAGTTGACAGAATAACTTGCACAACGATAAACATTTAAAGTAATAAAATAATTTAATATATTTACAATATATATATATATATATATATATATTTACAAATAATAAAATATATAAATATATTTACAAATATATATATATATATATCACAACGGTCAGATTAATTTTTTCGTGCATAAGCAACTGTTCCAGCATTAATCTTGGCTGTTTTTTCACGTGTTTACAGTTTTTTTTCCAGTTTTTCCAGACTAATTTCTTCTTATTTATGTAATACTGTGTTAAAATATTTCGTGGAGCTACAGCTCCTGGTCATTTTTTAGCAAGATCGCTGCAATATTTCTACCTACTACTTTTATTTCATATCTTTTTGCAGCATTATGCGCAAAAGTTTTTGAGACCAAATAGGTCTTACGTCTAATTACCAGTTAGCTTTACATTTTCTTTTTCAATATATATATATATTACATTACGTTCAAAGGGGCCTTTTTTTAACGTTTTTTGGGTTACCTTTATTTATTAAATATCATTTTCTTAAAAAATAAAATTCAGTTAAACACCAATATCGCAAAATAATTTTAAAATGAGCATATCTTTAGAATTTCCGATACACAGTCTCGCGCGCTAGAGATAAAAAATCTCTCTCTCTCTCTTTTTTTTTTTTTTTTTTTGGCCGTACAGTCTTGCCATTGTTCGTTTTGAAATCGTTGAGTTTGTTAATCAAACATTTGTTAATGTTTTACGAAATATGAAATAGATAATAAAACAAATTCCAAATTTGGGCTTCCAGATGCCCATATTCGGCTGGAAACGTACGTTATTTAAAATTTGATGGTTCTCTGTACCGTCGTTTTATCACAATGCGAGAAACATACATACATTTATATGAAGATTCTTCATTATTTAATTTCTTTAAATATTACAGAGCTGTAATATCTGGTGGCAGCAGTTTGAAAAGTGAACCGGCATTTAATGTTTTCAACGCAAAATGCCAAAACGAAATTAATAGCCCTTCTGGGGTAACGCCCTTTTGGCTAAAAATTTCGTTTTATAATTCATTAAGTTCATTTCACTGTTGTTTTTGTTACAGAGGTTACATTCATTAAATTCATTCTTAGTTTCATCATAATTCATAAAGCTGAATTATTTAAAGCGTGAGCTTTTAAAAAAATTGACTAACATTTTATACAACAAAATAGTAATACCCGTATTTCTAATGATACATGTGTAAAGGTTCTATAATAGTAAATGTTCCTAACGATATTTGTATAGGGATTCCTAACGATATCCATTTTGTCATATAAACGCAAGTTTTTTAAATCACATAGTGTGTGCTGTGATTGATTCATCTTCCCACTGGTTTCTATACTCACTTTAAGGATTTTAGTTCTGCATTCTGTAGTTATTATAGCTCTCACTTTCGAAAATGGCCTCAACACAAACAGAAATAATAGACATTTTTGTTTATTAACATTGGCAACAGTAGTGCGGTTTTTAAAAAATGAGACATTTGACGCCGTCTGTAATTCTTTTAAAGTATCGTCTGTGATTTTGTCTCGATATGTTGTGTTTGCAGCTACGTTTGTTTTTGTGTTCGTTGTAAGAATTGTAAAAATAAAAGTGTTTGCTACAAAAATCTTCTAGTACTGCTTGAAGATATTCGTCCTCAAAAGCTCGTCCCGGATTTTCGGGACGGAAGTAGGGAAGAAGGAAGGGTAAGTAAAACCTTTTTTCTAAATTTCGAAGTTTTGAAATGAAAAATTTAGTTATATTATTTCAACACTTGCAATGTTTGCACAATTCGCAAGTTTTGCAGGAACACAGCGTTCAGTAGTTGAATGGATGAGAGTAATGCCGAAATTATCGCGTGGAGCGATGATAGTAATACCACGATTATTGCATGGAGCGTGACGTCTCCGGCTTAATAAGAATATTGTCACACAGACACATAACGTTAACAATTCCTGACCGTTGATACCCCGAAGGGGTCAGAAAAATCTAGATGAGACTTCATCATACAAAGGTAGCAGAAATTTAAAATTCTGTTTCCGCATTCAATATCCAAAGTGTTTATAAAAGCTTTTTGCTCAGTAATTTTAATCATCTTACATTCTTTGGTAAACTGTATACGATATTCTTCGACAAACTGTGTGAATTTCCTGAAGAAGTTATTGATTTTTTCATCCACATTAAATTAATCTCCGTTTTTTTTTTTGGAGTTTTAGTCTGAGCACTGCACATGTGAAGCAACATTTTTTTTTTTTCAGTCGTTGGGATGTTATAATTCTGGACATAATTGTCAGCAGATTTCATCGGTCACCTAGGTAACTTTTTATCATTCTCAGTGCGAGTTTTGAGGTATAATTCACATTTTTTTGATGAGGCCACGTGATCCAGCTAATAGGGGACAAATATTGGCTTCTCTTTAGGGAGAGTACATGTGTAGACCTAATGGCTTTGACTACACTTCAGGGCGAGTTGTTGTGAAAGATCTGGCCATGGACAAATCTCTGACAACAAAAGCAAACCAAGGCATTTTTATCCACTATGCAGCGTCTAATTCTAACATGCAAATCCAAAACCGTTTTCTTGCGAGTAGATGCCTCTGCCTTTTTCCGTTCTTTTCACCGAAACGAAACATACAGGAAACTTCGTCACGGTATCGTGAATTTTCTTCGTTAACTAAGTAAATTTTATCATAAAAAATCCATTGGCAATATGTTCCGTCTCGATTTCTATGGTGTCAAGAGTCAGCTGGTTTTCGATTCCGATTGGAGTCGAAGAAAAGAGTAATTTTATCTCTGTTAAGTTTACAGGATATCCTTGTGTTATACGTTCAGAGGAAAGGCTTCGCATCTCTTTCCAAGGAAAGTCCGGTCTCGGATAAACTAATGGAGAAAGCGCTCGAAACTCTTAATGAACAACTTATGATGCAGAGCTGATACTTATTTAACCAATAGGAATGATTCAATGTCAAGCAGCTTGTTCCTTTCCTCGATCTTGATTGGCACACCTCTCAATACAGCTCATGGCCCAAAGCTGATTTTGAGGCGGAAAGTAAAGTTGCTTTTAATACAGTTTTCGTGACACATTGCTGAGTGGTCAACGGCCATACCATGCTGAAAGTACCGGTTCTCGTCCGATCATTGCTGAGTGTGACAGGCGTTTTAATCCTCACTTAGAAGAGAACTTTATTAATGGGATATTATTCTTATAAGCAAGTATTGATAATTTTGTCTTTTAGGGACCATAAAATAATGGCTAGGAAGTGATATCATATTATTACATAAATTAATTTATATTACGCATAGTTTGATGTAATATTATTTTTGAATTCCATTGACCTTTTCTAGGCCGGTGTTAGAAACGAAACTTGCGATGGAGTTTGCGAGGCAATCTCACCTGACATTGAAAAACATCTCTTCTGTCCCAGACTGCATCCCTTGTCTTTCTGCAACGAAAGGTGAGAGCAACACACTTCCTGAAGCGTTTATTCACCCAGCAGTAGAGAAGTGGATTGATGGCACTATTCACATGCCCTAGAAGTAATCCGAACGGAAGAAACATAGATAGGTGCATATCCACATTTCCACTCACCTATAATAAAGAAATAGAAGAAATTTTGTTACTGAATCCATTCATAAGTAATTTTGCCACAATTGTGAGGGCAAGCTGCATATATCAGGCAAGGGTTTTTTAAGGTGCTAGTAGATGTAGATGACTCTCAAGACAATCATGTCCAACTGCAAGTCTGAATTGTGTTCATGCTCTTGCATACGGTTTATCTACTATGTTTAAAGCCAAAATGTCTTTTCAGCTCTTAGAAGAGGTTCATTCCACGAAAGTTCTAAGATTTTACGAATATAAAATTTTGTAGAATGGTAAAATCTCTATTTTCAACTGATAATTTATCCTTATGCCTCTGTTTGCATGCATATAGATCTACTTATTTCTATAGATATTGCGTTGAACAAGAATTCATTAGAAACAAACGGCTCTACCCTTCATCTCCAAATGCTCAAGAAGAAATTGGCATTCAATCTTCTGAGAAGACGGAGTTTCACTTACTGCGGTAGCACGTAAGTTAACCCTAGAATCTGATAATGTGGCCACACTGTTGGTGAACAACAAACTGTAAAACGTTTGCTCAATGTTTAACAGTTATATACCTGGTGGCAAAGCAAATATTCAATTAAATTTATGACACCATATTTTATGTCTGTGAAGTCCTTACCTGAAAGTCAAGAAGTAAAGTGGCAATATTATATGGTACCCAGCAGATAGCAAATACTGTTGTCAGTATAAGAAATCGTTTGGCCACTAACTTTCTTCTTTCCATAATATTCTGAATCCGAAAGGAAACCGACTGAAATGAAGGTGAAAAAATATTATTTTAATAATAAATAATAATAAATAAATGCAGATAAAACAAATGATATAAATAATGGGGAAAAAATTAAAGATATTGCTTTTATGAAACATTATTTTACATAATGTTAAATAATATTTTGCATAATTCTGTCATTAAGATTACCACCTATTTTATCTTTTGGGCGAATATATTATTTCTGTTAAGATTATGGTTAATGAATTAATTAATTTCTTGTTACTATATCGATGATTGATAATCATGACATTTATAGATTATTAAGCAGCTAAATAAAATTCATGCTGTTCATAAAATAAGTGAGTAAATTTTACCTCTTGCTTTAGTTTTTTTTAACCCTTGAATAGCAAATCGTTGTCTGGCGAGGTTTTGTTTTCAATATATTTTAATTGAAATGCGTTATGCTTAATTTTATGAAACACAAATACATTACAAATATTTTTGTAGTTTGTCAAACATGCGGTATACTTATAAGTAATTAATTATTTACATGTGAAGAAGTTTTTATTTTCTACTAAAAGGGCTTTTATTGAAGTTTCAACTCTAAACCAGAATAGGAGGTTCATCTGACGTTTAAAATGCCACCGTAGTTAGTATGTTGACTAATGAAGGCTGATTACCATGACAGTTGGCTTGGATTTAAATTCCGTGCAAGGCTTGAATATTTGTGACTGCAGTATCTTTTCGGAAAAAGGATTTTAAAGTCCTGCTTAAAGTTTTAAAGTCCTTTAAAAGGATCTGAAAACTCTTTTGTAATGTTAATTGCAAGGAAGGAAGATGCAGCTCACAGTCTACCTCTCAGGCGCTATCGATCTAGGATGGGACGGAGTTGAGAAAAGTCGCACTGTTACTTTGGTTGTTCGAGGTCTATGACAAACAACAGGCGTAGCTCTTGATCCATTGATGATTGATCCAAGCCATTTCAGGTTGGACATTGAATTGGTAATAAAATTATATGGCTGTTTGTGACTGTAATGTCTGTAAAAGTGTTCACTTAAATTTCAAAAGTTCATTTTGGGTAGTTAGTGGTATGGGAAGATTACAGATCACATTATACTCCTTGAGGTGCTCTTAATCTGAATCAGGAAGGAGCTGGGCAAAGTTCGATTTTATCTTTGGTGCTCAAGGTATAGGTTGGGTTTTAATGAAAGTTTTCAACCACCGCAAATATCTTCTGCGCGAACAGTTTGCCTTGGCGTGTTTAATCAAATTTTGTCAAACGAAGTTTGGCATTTGAAAGAAAGAGACTTGCTTTAGAACACTGTTGTGAAATTTCTAATAAATATATCGTTATCATCAAGTATAAGATGTCTGAAATGGAACTATCATGCTACCAGATTGGAACCCTAATTTACTTCCAGTTCTGCTACAAAAAGTCAGCTGCAGAATGGCATGAAATCATGTGTACAGCTTTAGGTATTAAATATTGCATCGTATGACACTGTGAAGGTTTGGGTACCGAAAGTTCAAAAACAAGGACTATGACATTCAAGAAGCAGGGCGCTCTGGCCGGCCTACTGATGTTGATGAGGCCCGCCTGCGATAACTTGTGGGAAAGAATCAGTATACCAATTGAGATCTTTCTAAGATGTTAAACGTTAGTGCCATGTCTATTATTCGCGCTATGCCTCGTATAAACTTGACGTACAAGTTCAATCGCTGGGTGTCGTATGAGCTGACTCAAGCAGATAGACGTTATTCAAGTCTGCATTAATCAGCTCGAATATCAACGCAAGAATAAAATTCTGAACTGGACTGTCACTTGTGATGAAAAGTGGATTTACTTCAACAATACAGGCCGAAAATGAGGTTGGTCTGCGCCGGGTGAGCCCATCGACAGCGTCGCAAAGCGCAGTTTGACTAACAAAAAGATCATGCTTTGTAGCTGGTGCGATTGCCGTGGTATTATCCACAAAGGGTATCTGGAAAAAGGTAAAACCATCGACAGTAAGGTGCACAGCGAGGTGCTAGTCCGTGCTGACGCTGCTAGCTAGGGAAAACATCGTTCCGGCACAGAGAGGTAATATTCCACAAAGATAATGCAAGACCACAGTCTGTATTCACCTGCTGGACTCTATACGGACTAGAATGGGATTTTTTTGCTACACCCTTTTGCTACACCCACTGTATAGCCCCGACATCGTTCCTTCGGACTCTACCTTTTTTCACACTTGCAGCTACATTTTGCTGGTGCTATCTTCCGTTCTGCACAAGACGTCCGAAATGTGGTTGAATTGGTTTATGTCTTGGCCTCCAAGTTTCTGGGCTGAAGGCTTTGCAAAACTACCAAAATGTTGGCAGAAAATCATAGATTTGGGCTGTGATTACTACCGGCACTAAACGTACTGCTTTTCGTGTGTCTCTTTCTTACATTATTAAGAAAGTGTTTTTCGCCTAAAACTTTCGTTACAACTAATAACCAGCAGCAGGCATACTTCTTGACTTCCTGATGACGCCGTTCACTGAAAATGGACATCGGATCAATAATAGCAACATCAATTATAAATCTGAAATTTCCTGTTTAAAAGCTGACTTTAATCCTGAGAACGAGAGCGCCGAAAACTAGTCTTGAAATTTAAGTCTTCCTGCCCCCAGTCGTAACTTGTGCAGTCTAAATTAATTACTCAGTCGTAACCTGTGCAGTTCTTCTGTCAAACTCTAGTAGTAAAAGTATATGCTAAAAATTTTCTGCTTTTACTTTTTACATACGGTAATCTTATTTAAATTAATGGTATAATTCTTAAATAATCTAGTGTATATTTTAAACATAAAATCTTTAGTATTAATGATTTGAACATAAAACTGCACTTTGCAGATCTCTCAACTCTGAATTATAATATAGACGTGTTTGAAACACACGCTTTTCTTTATTTTATTCTGAATAAATTTGCGTTAATATGGAATGATTAAAAATATGGTAGAAACAAAGCGATTAAAATCTTAACTGCTTAATAAAACTCAAAATGAAATGTTACAGAGAAAACGTAAAAACAGAATTGGAAATAATGAAATCTTTTATGTGTAAATGAAAAATTTTTCGCTTTGAAAGCCTTCTACTCAGAGAATTAAAAAAAAATATAAGATGAAGAAGTTGTGTTTAATTTCAGAGTAAATTTCTTTTGAAATAAAGGCGTAAGGATTGACAATCTCATGGGAAATCATCGTTTCGGTTTCTGGTTCTGTAATTAATATATTAGTCATTTACTCTTCGACAGTTTTCCTTTTGAAAAATCTTCTTTCATCTGATTCTTTGTGTGGAAATTCTGAGTCACAAACCGCTCGTCTTTAGAGTCCAAGACAAATGTAAATAGTTCGTTTATTTCACTTACGCAGATTTTAATCTTTTGACTTTTAATCTTTTAATATTTGACGATCTTTATTATGAAATCGTGTCTTTAATCAACGACTCAATAATTTTTATTGTGAAACTGAGAAATGTAAGCAGAAAATGATCAGAAAGTTTATAACAGAAATATAAATTAAGACTTTTCACTAAAGTGGAAGAAAGATACTGTCATGGAACATGAATGATTTTATATATACTGTATTTAAGATTTGTTTATTGATAGTCTCGATTTAATCAACTTAGAAGAAATAAAGGAACAACTTATTTTCTGTTTTAATTTATCCTGAAATTTTATGTGTTAAAAGATGTAACAGGTATGTTTACACGCTTGATTTTTCATTCTAATTCATCTGATATCGAACAGTGTACTTCTGGCATTTAAAACTGTAACACCATATAGAAATCAGTTGATTGACTTGAAATTTGTATAATTGTATAATTTGTATAATAAGCCATCGAAAAGATGACTATACAGCGTCTATACAAATAATAAATACACAATACACCTAGCCTCGGTATAAAGCTAAAGAAGAAAGGAGGGCTTTTTCCCATGTAGGCATTTGTATTTCGTTTTTCTTTTTCTTAGTAAAAGGGTGTAAGAACTACAGAGTGTGCCCATATTTGATTGTTAGAAAATGATAATGTACCGTGATTGTGGATTATTTTGCTAAAAACCTGGTACTCTTGCTATTGGAAATCCGACTCCTGTCATACGAACATGGAACCGAATAGGTCCGGAAACGATGACTTCAAGATAATTTCGTTACACCAATGCCCGAGAAGACAGACATTTTGGGTGAACAGACAGACATACAGGTCTTAGCGACTGTACTGTCACGACATTCATCCCATCACAAGAAATACGGTGTGTAGCAAGGCAAGACGTGTCTGCATGTATGGTGAGACTTTGTTTTGACGAACGTAGACGGTTTTCATGCCAGCCATAGTTGTGACTCATTTCAAAGGCACAATACAGGAACCTACGACTGAAGTGATGCATTGAACGGCCCAACATGAATGCATAAATGGCGTACCACAATCTACAAGTCCAGGCTCAGTAACCATGCGTCTGTTTTCTAAGCCGAGTCGTTGGCACTCGAGTAGGCGATACTATAAGCACGCAGCCAAAATCACGACCACGTTTCTTTTTTCACAGATAGCATGAGCATCATTTAAGGACTTAATAAAAAAGGCTCCCAAGATCTCCATATATCATCACTCGAGGAGATCATCAACATCCTGGTTAAATCTTAAGATTGTCTCACTCAGCGAGGTCATCAAGGTCTGCAGGGCAATGAAAGAGCAGACGTCCTAGCGAAGGAGACAATCTCATATATCACCACGGATACCGACGTTCCGTAATCCGAAGAAGTAGCGAGGAATTTGATTTACGACGCCTACAATGACGCCTACAACGCCTACTTTGGCAAGAAAGCTGGCATAAATGCGGATACCGGAAGGTTCATTCACTCTGTTTCCAAACGTCACAACAAAGAGGCTCAAAACAGAATTCTTCTTACTCCAAGCATATAACCACGGCAGATTCCCCAGCTCGGTTCTTCAGACAGGATGTCAGCTGTACTTGTGGCACCCGAGCACACCTGGCGACTGCTATTCATTACCTCAAAAGTGC